AAGGAATTTCTCGAGAAGACCACGTAAAAACGCCAAATTTAGCAGGGAAAGCCATCTCGTACCATTGTTCATTATTACAGCTGTGAAGAAGAAGATGTGCCTGCAGCGAGCAGCATCGCCAACGCCCGGCTCTCTCGGCTCGTGCTTCGGTTCGTTGCTGTGCCGATCGCTGGACGGTTCTTCACGCTGTCTCGTCGCTGTCTATAACGGCCAATAAACCTCCTCACATTTGGTGGAGGTGCTGGGGAGGTGCATTAACACCTATTAATAAGTCTTTATGCGGCAAACAGTATTATAGGTCTTCAATATTCATACTAAAAGCTTCACAGCCACCGTGGTTTTATTCTGAAAGGAACTGAACTAGTGCCTGAGAATTACGCATACAAAAAGGGTCTGCAAAGGGTCTGGAAAGGGAATAAGCAATTAATTCTGCAAATAAACACAGACAGTTATTTGCATATGTGACTTTTTCTGAAACGATTGTTCGAAAAGGAATCTACTTCTTATTGGTTTTCGCTGAGAAAACCATTCTTACGTACGTGATTAAGCCTTCTTAATATTACAGGCTGTTTTTTCAAGATTATATCTTCACATAAGGTCGACAGCACGTTAAATCTATTGGTGGTTCAAGTGTTGCTGCCCTAAAGTTCTTTTTCACGGCTGTTAATGTTTTTTTTTTTTGGGGGGGGGGGACATGCTATACCCGGCATAATACGAAATACTCCTCATTATCTAAAGTTACTGGCCGCAGTTTCTTCCTTACACAATAATTAACCAAAGACCAGATAGGGTCAGGACATTAAGAGACACATATTAGACTCCTTCGTACTAGCAACGCAGTCTGAAATGCAGTGCGAGCGCCCTTTATCAGGAACTAGTCTAGTACGCGATCGCCGCTTACTGGGCTGCTTGGTTCATTTGAAAGTATGCAACTGCGCGTAAAACTAGAAAAAGATGGCGTGGAAAGTACCGTCTTGTCTAGTTTTACTCGCTGTTACATACGTTGATATTACGCGGAAGCTAAAAACGTCTGTTGCTCTGAGGCTCGGCTTAAACATAAATTTTCACGTAAAGATAACAATCTGCAGTAATTATCATCTAAAACAGCTCCTCCGAGGACTAGGTTATTGGTGGTGAAACAATGAAAAAAAAATCTTGCTCTTACATGATTGAAGTTCTCAAAAGTTTACCCTGTGAAGGAATTCCGCATGCTGGTCAGCTTCCCTCGTCGCGTAGGCGTGCAGGCTGTTTAACACTCAAGAGAAATCTCGGAGCACGTGGCATGCCGCAGCCACGCGCAGTCTGCTGCTTGCGCATGCGCAGATGGTTCAGGGGGTATAGTTCTGAACCACGTCGTCTGCTACGGCCGCCCTTGCTTGCCGCACGGCTGACGAGCACGCGGATATACGAATTTATAGCAGGAACTAAGTCGATGACCCGCACTAAACGTTGGGCGAGTTCGCGCACCTCACGTGTGCGTGTTTTTATGTCATTGGTGTCTACTGCTTAATCAAAAGGCCATGGAATGACCACGCCGATTGCCAGATCTGAATATCATCGAAAATGTCTGGGGCTTCATGAGAATGTCGCTGGCACACTATCCTCTACACGGGCTGTGTGAGGGTTGGTTGTCGTCCGCCATCGTCAGCGAGCCGGACGCCTTGCGAATGAATACATCGCTCATCGAGTCACGGTACGCCTCACTGCCGTCAAAAATGAGTGCCGCCATTACTGCCGCTGGTGACATGACTAAGTGGGATGCGTCACGAGCCGGTTAGTTAGTCTTGTGGTAATGAAATGTCGTCGAAAAGAGACACATTCCACTCCTCAGTACCGCTACTACCACCCCTGAACTTGTGGCGTTCGTTGACGCTCCACACTATCCTGGAGCAGCCGATTTCGCGGTTGCGGTCACTGACCCTGATGGTAAACTCCTCGCAGCAGCATCCCTTCGAGATACCACGCCGGCCAGGGCTGAGCAGGCTGCTCTGGCCGTTGCTATTCCCACGCGCACGTGCATCTTAACTGACTCTCGGGCTGCTAAGCATTCACGATGGGCTGAATTTGTAAGCAGGCGGCCTATATTCTGACCAAAATTTCAAATTGCACTGCAATTGACGTCACATCACCCGGTTTCCTGCCCACATGGGCCAGGATGTGCACCCTGTTATCCATAATGCCAATGAATCTGCCCATGTTCGCGCACTGTCCCACCGTGACGGGAATTCGGCCTCTAATTTGGGGGAAGGCATCCCGCAGCTTGATTCCCTCCTCACCTCCAACGGAATATGCAAGCACTATCAATTGTACAGGCGTAGGTTCCCGCCCCCGCAACTATCGAGGGCCCAGTCAATCACTTCACGAATGCTGCAAACCGGTACTTACCCGTCGCCCTTAGGTTACAGTAAGTCTATAGTGACAGCATAAAGCCTCACTGCCCTCATTGCGACGAGAGACGACGCACGTTATCCCACATGCTCTGGCAATGCACGGCGCTTCGGGACGGCGAGCCTCTCACCACAGAGGGCGCCTGGAAGACTGCGGTCGCCAGCTCGGACCGGGAGGTCCAAATCCGGGCTGTCCAGAGGGCCCGCAGTCGACCCTCCTTTTGAAGGGCATCGTCTTTTCAGGACAATTCGTGAATAAAGTTTGTTGACTGACTGACTGACCCCGCCAACACCGAGCACTGGGGGAGGAAAGCGTGCGATATGAAATGCGCGCGTTTGTGAAGCCACCAGAAATTTAGCTTTTAGTGCTTTATTGCGATGTTATATATATATATATATATATATATATATATATATATATATATATATATATATATATATATATATATATATATATATATATATATATATATATATATATATATATATATATATATATATATATATATGTGTGTGTGTGTGTGTGTGTGTGTGTGTGTGTGTGTGTGTGTGTGTGTGTGTACACTCTTCACCGCTGGGAGAATTCCAACTGAGAGAAAAATAACAGCGCGTTCTCGGCTTTTCCAGCGAGATGCCGCGAAGGGCACGCTCGGCAGCCCACTTGTGTTCTTTGCTTGGTTCAATCTGCGAGCGAGTGCACTTATCTCGCTGTGGCGGAGAAACCCTCCGCAAACTTTTCCCTCGTATTTCTTGACAAGACTATTTCGTGCCAGTCGCGTATTTCCTAAAAAAAATGTTCCTGCTAGATTTAAACCACTGATAGCTCATATTTGACGGTGCAAGATTAAAAAGCTCATCCTTGAGTACCAATTCTGTGAAACAGTATTAGTGTAAAACAGCATTTTCACTCTAATAGAAAAAAATCTGTTACGCTAACGGGCTTTCAGTCGACTCACTAAAGCTCATTCGGAATCAGGTCGAGCCGCAAGTCTGTGCGAGTCTGGCTGAATAATATCGCCGCGTTCTTGTTCTCAAGTTTTGTTATCGCCCCCAATACACTATGTAATTCTCAGCGCAAACCGCGCCTGCAATCTTCGAGAAGCTTCAGGAGTGTAGTAGATCATTTTGATAAGATCACGCCCACTCCGCGAACTATACAGATTATTCTAGAGCCTACGTCACCGCTAGCGATAACGCTAGAACATTCGACGGCAAGTGCATAAATGCCGACGCGCTTCGCCGCTGTCAGTTTTATCGACGGCCGACGCTCCGTTCACCGCTATCCTGCTACTGTGATCCGACTTTCCGTTTACCGGGCACGGGTTCGCCCCAATAACCAGTTTAATCTTCAACGTACTCTCCGCTTCTTCGTCGACGTCACGACCCCGTGACAATATAGGTCCGTTTGATTCGCCTGCACCACGTGAACCAGTTCACGAGGTGCTGCACCTTGCCATTCGTTTCAGCGGTGCAGCATTGACGACCGCTGAACCCTGCCATTCGTTTCGAAAGGTGCAGAAGAGGTGCAGCACCGGTTCACGATTTTCCTGCACCTCCTTCGCTGACGGTGCCGGCTTGGTGCAGGCGCGCGTGCAGCTGAGCAGACGACGCAGCACTTAGACGCAGGTGGCTTAGGCGCCGTACCCGCCTCTACAAATGCGGTGTGTTTGGCCAAGATGTTTGTGCCTCATAAACTGTCCGCATGTGCGTTTCGCCATAGGTCAGTGTTTGCTGAATGGTGTAAATTAACCAAAAAGAAATAAGGCCAACACCTTGTCGGCACATCGTCATTTGTTTCGGGTGTCGTGCTGTGCCTACACCGCTGAACTCACGCTGCACAATTTCTGAGCTTCGCGTGCACAGCCGTGAACCGGTTCCGACCGGTGCAGGTGAATCGAACGGACCTTATATGTCGGCGCGTTTGGTTCACGAGTGAGTTTGGCTGAGAGAAGTTTTAGGGAGTCTCGGAACAAGCGAGTGTGATTTGCAAAACACTTGACGAGAGAGTCCGAGCAAATCGTCAAAGCAAAACAGTTTGTGAGTGAGTATGTCTGTGTGAACTCCAATTTTCTTGCCCACCTATGAATAACATGACTAACCAAACCGCGATCAGAGGCTGCGCATTGCGTATCTCGTGATCATGCGTCACCGGTTTCTACGACTCTCCTAAAGCCCGCGCGGAGCGATTCGCGAGATGACGAAGGCGGAAATTACAGTTCAGATCTTCGGGAAGAAATACAAGAATATTCCGCTGCAGCGTGAATTGTCACCTGTTTTGTGAATGATGGTTGCAGAGAAATCATGATCACGTGAAATGCCGCATCACGTGACTGATAAGCCAGCGATCTAGTCTGCAAGTACTGCAAGTACTGCAAGTACAGGGTCTAGCATTAGTTCCCCGCATTCACTGTGCAAGTACTCACGCGAAAAAAAAAATTCTGTGGAGTTCTCGTCCTAAAAAAAGAATTCAGGCAGCAGCTATGCCCAGAGGCACCGACATCTCTTTCCTTCTCGAGATTACAGCTTGTTCATAGCATCTGTGGCATCAAATGCTTCGATGTTTCATGCACCACAAGCAGCGAGTGTGTAGGCCAGTGATCAACAACAACAACGTATTTCGCTGAAACTCTCATATAGGTTTAATTAACACGCACACACAATTGTTTCACCGTCATAAAGTGAGCAAATTCTCATCAGCAAATATCTGTACAGACGCTATCAGGTAAACAAACAAACGATACAAAGGAGACGGTAGAGCGCGAAGCTTGAAGAAGTGCGATTTGTCATAACGCCGGGTAGTGCTTCGTATGTACAGTGATGGTTTCGCTTCCCCAGTTTCCATCCGTCACACAGCAGAAAGCTGGGAGGCTAAGAGCTACAGTCAAGGTCACAGAAATAAAAGAATGAAAAAAAAAACAAAAACAAAAGTAGTAAGCGAGCAACACACGGCTTAGTGTGCTTTATGTAATACCATCTTGGGAAAGGAGCAGGACACTTTTTTTTAGCACCGAAACTTCTTTTTCTCTGGCATGCTTAATGACTCAGTAGACTTGCCACAATGCTCCTCGCACCCTCTGTGGCGTGTATGGCAGTCCGGTTTACAATACAGTATACACCACAAAACATTTCACACACATCCACGCAGTTTAGAGACGTTACGAAGGGCCACAGTCAAAATTTAAGTTGATCACCGCTTTGCAAGCTAATTAGAGATGTATCTTATTGGGACACCACGCTTGCATAGAGACAAGTCCTGCTTTTCCTCCTCCCCCCCTTTGTTTTATCAGGCACACGACATACTCACAGTGTCGCCAATGGGAAGAATCTGACGAAGGAAGCATTGAAAGAACACGCCCACTGAAATCAATGTTATGTACAACACTGATGAGGGTATAACCAACTCGAATTGGCACCAGCCAACCAGTTAGGCTTAGAAGGCCACTTGTAATATCCAACGAAACTGAGCACTTATGTTACAACCAGAAATGCACTGTGCAGAAGCATGCCTTCAAAATACATGCTTCAGACAGGTGACATATTTTGTGTGGCAATTTATGCAGCGTGCATGACAACCCCTGCAAGTAGATAAGTTTTGACGTGAGCACGGGGATGATAATAGTACCAGAAATGAAAATGCGTGTACATTTTGTGTCAGTTTTATGTTTTAATGTACCTTTCCTCCAAACTTCTGCAGAACTCATTATCCTAGAGAATCTTCAGGAGGCATCATGGCAATTTATTAGGTCAATATTTTAACGTTCAGGACGTTGCTTGAACATAAACGTACACATTTCACTTCGAGCAAAGAATAAGCAGGCTATTTCCATTGCTTTTTTTACATGCTGCTTCAAAAATCATCAACGTTAAAAACTCGGTAATGCCCGTTTTATAGTGTAGTAATGATTTCCACTGCATCCTGGTTAAACTCAGGCCGCAAGTGTTACGCTTCCTCACACCCTATTCGTTAAGCCTCACTCTAAAACGCTGCTCTCTCACATCTCCTCCACTCAGCGCTTTCCTTCGAGACTGTAGTGAAATACGCTGGAGTGTCTGTCGCCCACAACTCTGCAAGATACGTTGCACACAACACATCACACATCACTGTATATGGCACATGTTACTTGCAGGCTGTGTGTTATTGCATGTAGAATAATGTGAGACAAGCAAAGAGCGGCCATTTTTTTAAGCCACTGATAGAAAGAAAAAAAAACAGGAAAGCAGTGATTGTGCTGTATGTTCACAAAAAACCCAGGGCTTAACTGCAGTTCCTACATGCCAGCATTTGAAAAGCGGAGTATTTCATGAAAGGTTCGGTGTGCTGCAAAATATGGACACAACTACTGATGAGAGGTCAGTCTTTAAAGCAAAAGAAGGGATCACTCTCGGATCAGGACGCAATGATGAAGTACTACGCTAGAAACACCGCAAGGTCACACTACTCAAGTTAATAAATAAGGCTACCCTTGCCTTGCTTTTATTTTTTGTTTCTAATCTAGTCAGGGAAACGGGACAACTTCATGCACTGACAGATACACTCGCATGCGCACACACACACACTGATGCACACTCACATGAACAATTACAATTATTAACAGCTCTTTGGTTCCTGACTTGAAACACCGCAAATGTGGTGGCACCACGAGTCACTTCGGAAATACGACACTTCGTGGGCTCGCACCATCAGCGTCCGTTTCTTTTCTTTTTTTTCTTCGTTTTCCACAGGGTCTAGCATTAGTTCCCCGCACACACACACTCACTGTCCACACAATGTCCGCAGCGAGGGGCACACAACACTCTCGGTTGCTTCGTGGAGAGCTTAAGTCCTATTTACATCGAGGTCTCCTGCCATCATACATGGGTGGCTAGCGTGCCCGGCTTGACATGGCTCTGTTGCGATGTGATGTACCTAAATGAAGAATAAAGGAAGAGCGTGATAAGTTTCGTGGCATTTACAATATATGCAATGAATGCGCGTGAAAAAGAAAAAACAACAACATGAAAGTTTGTTAGATGCATACAGGAACACACACTATCGCTGTAAAGTCAAGCCGCCCTTCTCAGTGTGACAATTATGTCGCACGGAGCTAACCACATGAAATGGTTCACATCAAGTGCTACGGCTCCAAGTGGTACTTTGAGCCAAGTGCTTAGCCTAGCCATGGTGACATTAGGTGATGCTGAGCGTAGCCTTCTGTTTACACAAATGAAGTGCCACAGAGTAGTGAAGGTGAAACATACATTCCATATTTTCCATGAGATAAAAAGGAAAGCATAGTTCGTGTTAGATTATGGCTGACCTGTTCTGGGGCAATGTTGCGCACGAAGCACCGGGTATGCCGGCAGTATTAGCGACGACCGACGGCATGGCCCTTGAGCTGACGTACACGCCCTGAGGAGGTGGAAGGTTCGACTGCGAGGTGCGCAGGTATGGGTTTGCGTACCCCGCTCGAAACCGCGGGTCGATGCCCTGGCCCAGGTCGTTGAGCGATTGCGGTGAGCTGCCGTACAGGCCACTGTCGCGGCTCGCGTTCAGCTGCAGTGACGCTGCCACCGGCGGTGGATTGTAGTCGCGCGAGTAGTCCACGTACGGGATGTAACCATTGTTGTTTTGAGCCTCCTGCAAAAAAAATAATGCTGGGCTCAGGTGGTGAATGCAGCCTTTTTCTTATATCTAGTAGTTGACTAACTTATTTTGAAGCTTTATGGTTGCCTAAAACATCAATTTATGCTCGGCGAGTTTCTACTGCATGAACCTGTTTTTCCTATACAAACACAAACGTTGTCAAGTTAGTCATTTATGAACTCAAGTAACATAGAGCACTTGGCAAGTTTGTATATATTAACAGCGTCGTTCTGTGCGCTCTTTACTAAGCAATGTATTTCTCACCCTATGCTTTGACATTGATGAACGCCCAGGAGTTGCCGTACACTATGTAATTAATATATTTGTAACACTATGTAATTAATTTGTTTGTAACATTAGTAATATCAGAAGATTAAAAGCTTTACGACAACCCGCAATAGGGGCAACCGTGATTCCGGAGATTCAACGGTAACACGAAGAGAGCTTAATGTAATTAAGCGACGAAGTTGCAGAGAATAAAAGTCCAAATTCTGCACAGAATACGCACACACAATTTGTCCTACAGCAAAATTGCAACTTCTACTCACCGATTTCGCGGGAAAAGTCGCGTCTCCGTAGTCGGCAGCACTGTTGGCGTACTTGTAGATATCCGCTGCGTCATGTGTTCGTGCCGATTCACTATTGTCCTCCCAGTTGCGGTCATGCTCGTTATTGGACAATGACGACGCTGTTCTGATTTCCACTTTAATGTCCGAGTCTCCAGAGGATGCAGAGTCTGATTGCTTCCCCTTCTTTTCAGAGTTGAAGTCATCATCTGTGAGACATAAAAGAGAAAGCTTCACTTGAGAGAATGTAAAGTGCTCTTGATAAAGTTTGCAACACAGTCTTTGTTCAAGCTCTTTTCTGTTAACGCTTGTAAACTAGCCCACTGTTATGCATAAACATCTATCTATATTCATTTGCATTAGATCTAATGATTTGTATCTTGACTTTTAGTTATGCACATTTGTTAGTTTTCTTTTCCTTTAGCTTTATGAACACTTATGCCATAGTTCAGCTATACACTTAAAGATACGACAGCTGCAGTGTAAGTGGTGCCTTCCATTGTTTTTTTCATTCTGTTAAAGAAAATGAAGTTACCATACCAATGATACCACTCAGCACTAACCCCAGTAAAAGCACTGCTCAGCTCAACAAATGTGAGCAGCACTGCACAAGAACATGTTATAGTGATTATATTTACAACATACGTGAATTACTAAACATTACTCTTGGCAATTGGGTCAGTTTTCATTTGTTTAAATCATTTATTAGAAGGGTACAACAGAGGCTACTGTACTGACTCTTCGTATCTTATGATTCAGCAAAAGCACATAAAGCCGGATGACTTAAAAAGGTTGGCAGTCACCGAAACACAAAAGAAGTTCAGGCAAACAAGTGTTTGGCATGGTGTACAATGCGATTACAGAGCTGGTCTAAGAACATGCGCAACTGTATTAGATTAGTGGCAGGGGACCATAAGTGCTTGAATGCTGGTCTCTGGAAGAAACTGTCTGGTGCTCTTGAATTCCCCAACGTTATGTCGATAATGAGACCTCAGTAACTATTGCCTCAAGACCAGTTATAAGCTGGGGCACACACACACAGTGTAACCTACCTTTGACAATGTTTTTCTTTCGCAGGCAGAGGATAATAGAGATCGTCACGGTCACGACAAGCACGATGCTTCCAATGACCCCAGCCAGGATGATCACCATGGGAAGGTTTTCTGCGTGGTGGCAAAAGTTGGCAAATTATCAAATGTCATTTCCCACATTAATCTAAGAACAAAGGTCTCCTAATATAAACAAGCATAAATATTCTGTTTATAAAAAAATGAAAAGGTGCATACAAAAAGGGACGTTTCTAAACTGACTTGCATACTCACTGTTTTCAAAAAACTAAGATTAAGTTTCACGCACTTCATCCATTTATGCTATATTTCGCGATGGCATCATGCTCTTTCAAAATCAAGCAATTCGCAATGCTCGCTAAATGCAGATAACACATAATAAATTACAACTGTTCCTGTTCTATTTTATTCATACTGACTAGAACCGTACTTTCACGGTCTTGCGGCACTCTTTTTTCGTAGCTAAATTTAGCTCTCAAATTTGTGTGTACGTTACAATTGCACACAAAAGATAAACCGGCATCAAATTATTTCTTCGTCTTCCTCATGTGAAATAACCTCTGCGTGGTAGAATCGAATATGAGCTATAATCATGAAAATATGGTACTTGTTTCCGAGATTCACCTTATGCAAGTAAACCTGTCCCAAGCACCGTATTTTTTTCTTTTTCAAATCACGCGCTACAACATTCACCCCAATTTCCTGTAAAGCGTGCTCTGCCTGTATAATACCATTTATTAGGTGAAGCTGAATCTAAACAAAGATCTTCAAAAAGCTGAGTGCTTGCTTTTGCATGGCCAAAATCAATTCCCGTCACTGAGGCCAATTATCGCAGTAATGCTTACTTTGTTTCCTAACAGTGATGAGCCTCGTGTCGTAGCCAAACTGGTTCCACACGGAACAGTTGTACTGGCCAAAGTCCTCTTCGGCAGCATTATGGATGATCAGCAAGTTCTTGAGGCCGTTCGACAGGGGCTCCTTTATGATTTCGTAGCCCTGGTTGTTGTCGATGTCAACCAGCTACACAAAAAAAGAGAGAAAGAGAAAGGTCATGAGGTGGCATGAAAGAGGGGGCAGGTGACAAAAATGTATTCAGATTGTACCAATCTTCAACACCTTTGAATAAAAAATAATAGATAGGATATATCTATTATGAACACATAATTCAGTTGCGCAAAAAAGACACAAACGAAAAAAAGTGAACAACACGGGCACAAACTTCAACTGGAAGACCAAAGCGGCTCTATGTCTTTTTCGCGCAACAAAAATATGTGTTCAAGTATGCACCAACTTGCTGAAACTAAAGTTTTACTTAATGTCTACTAAGATGTCTTTTATTATGTCTGTTATCCTGTTTATTGTCTTTTCCGGTTAATATTGAAAGAACAGACATGAAAATAGCGAAATCATGTCTCGGAAATAAAAAATTAAGGGCGAAGCGAGAGTTGATCATTATACTAGAAATTGTCAGCACACTTTTAGTTCACATTACAAATATGACACACAATGAGGACATACCACTGCACCATCGCTGAATTCTGGTACAAGAATGAGCACATTTGTAAAGACGACATTTGGGACTAAGAGGTAATCAAACCTACAACTAGGATGATAAGGGCACCAATATGTGGCTGCAATATAGCTTTGAAAGAAATAGTGAAGAAAAACAAAGATGTGACTTGATGGGAAAGCCTAGGCCTGCCTTCACGATTGTCGTCAAGATTATCAAATAAGGTTCTTGTCACTGACAGTGCCATGTGTCCATGAGTCATTCCAACACACTGGGATATTTACACACTGGGATATTATTTAAAATAATGGTTGGGCATGAACATAGAAATTCTAGTGTCATGATTCCTCCTCATTCCTCCAGCACTCAATTGTCCACTCAGAATGTCAGCCATCTCCATAGCTTTATAATCGTAACTCTCTGCCACTTATTTACACCGTAAACATTTACTGCAACTCTCGAGATTTTAATACCTATACCTATTACCCTCTTTTAGCGCGACAAATTTTAGGCCCCTATACAGCCGCTTAACATAACCTTTGTTCGCACTTGTTATCATGCACTGGCACTTTCTGGCCATCATATGGCTCTTGTGCCAATAAACATCATATATAACAATCAGATATGAGCGTTCCGTCTTTGATTTAAAACAACCTTTAACATTCTTAAGCTCATTCGGCTGCAAAAAATAAAAAATAAAGAGAAATCAGTGAGGCCCGATGTTTGTTACAGAAATATGAAACTCACAAAAACCTCAAGGCCGCTTGGTCAGTACTGCTACCATGTCTGAATTATTCATCACCGTAAACAGTATCATTCGTGACTTGGCTAGTTTTCTGCGAGGACCAACTTCTAGAACACGAGCTCACTTCGCATAAATAATGCCGTTGTTTGGAAAATACTCTCTGTAAAGATGTGTCTGCTCGTTTGTGGACAGCCAGACGAAAAAAAAAAGAGAAACGATGCAAACAGCAAAAGTGACATGGAGTTCGCGTACCAGAACGCCAGAGCAGCGGGCAGAAAGCGATTAAGGTTCCTTAACTATCAGCGACGACGACAGGGCCGACGGAGCTGCCGTTTCTTCCGCGGAACCATGTTTCACGCGCGGCAAATTGAATGTCGCCAGCAGCGGACGCGGGCTCGGCAGCCAGCGCAGCAAAACTGGAGACGGCAACAACGGCGGCCGGACCGTTGTTAATCACGGCCGCAAGCGCGTCATTTAAGCGTGAGACTCCGCCGCGGGCCCCGAGCAGCACTTGGTATACACCGGACTCGCGGACGGGACACCAGATTAATCAACGAAATGGTGCAGAAAAGTAAACTGCCGGACACCGCTAAGAGAGAGAGAGAGAGGCCACGATCTACAACAACAGCAACAAATAGCGAGGCAGACGTGGAGGGAAAGAGAGAGGGAGGGAGAAGATGGCGGTGCAGAAGGGAAAAGTTGTCGAGACAACGAAAACGGGCCCCTGATACAGCGCGAAGCACCGGGAAGAGCGGACAACCCTTCAACAAGGTTGAAGACCGACATGAGCAGCAGCAGCAGCATGCTCGAGCGTCCGGTGGCCGTCTTTGGAGCGGCCTCAATCAATACTCATTAAGGAACGTTTCGTCATCGTCAGAGCCCGTTTCCTTCGGGCCCGCGCTTCGCCACCGAGTCCTTTACAGGATTGATGGCGCGGCCTTATCTAGCGCGTTCTCTCCTTCTTTCTTTCTTTCTTCCTCCTTTTTTCTTTTTCCTACCCCCCTCCCTTTCTCATCTAAACTGCCTAGCCTCTCCTCGGTCGGCGAGCCATCCCTTCCGCGTTCGTTCCCGACGGTTTCCGAAAACAAAAATAAAAAAGAACGAACAAACACACGGCTCTTGGCACGGAGAAGACGCTGTTGGCCTCGGGGTTCAACGAATTGGGTTCGGCCAGATGACACTGCCGTCGCTCACGCTTCCCTGTACACTCTTTCTCTCGATTTTCCTTCCGATATGTCTTTTCTTTTTTTTTTGTTCTTGCGGCACTGTTATCAGTTGGCGCAGAATGAGAACCGCGGAAACCCCGAGAAATAAGACGAGCCACCGGGTGTAAAGGAAAAAAAAGAAAAGCCAGAAAAAGCCTCCTTCCCCTACTCCTACACCCTCGAATAAAACGGTGAAATAATAAACGATACACAACAACAAAAAAAGCACACATCGAATCGCGGCGTCAGCTACCGCCACTGCTCGTTTTTCACGGCGCGACCCTCGGGGGAGTTGTTCAAATTAAATGCGTGGCCCGCCGTAATGTCAGGCTTCGTACAAGTTCACTGGATTTTTTTACCCTCATATACCACGCTTCCCATGTCCGCGGCCTGTCTAATTTGTCGCCAGTAGGGTTCTTTCTAATAACGAGACAGTCTGAGCTCATTTGCCTTCTCTTTGCCGAATACTGGAGGGGCGACGAACTCGATCGAACACCCAGCTACGGCGATTATAAGAGATTGGAGGAGAAAAAAAAAAGGAGCCGCTTTTATTACAATATACATCCCCCGCCTGTGGCCCTTCTTTTTCTTGAGTTCACGTAATTAAAAAAAATTAAAGTTGGCGACACGTGGCTTTGCTGGTAGCCCCAAAATTTTTTTCCTTCAATAACACGGCCCATAAAACACAGACGCATTAGGTAAATGGCCGAAATCGGACGCTTGTTTCGTTAAAAGGCCGGACTAAAAGTGGACGAGGAGCGAGAGGGCGATTAAGCCGATAGATAATTCCAGTTTTCGCGTTGAAGACTTCGAGTTCGAAAGGAAGCAAGTGCTATTTCTTTTATCACTTATTTGGCGAAAAGTGTAAGGAGGAAAAAAAATTCGCGGAAAGCGGTAGACCTACGATAGCAAAATAATCAGTGCCTACTTTCTTAAAAACTACGATAGGGTTGTCCACAGAAGACAAAAAAAAAAAACATTTAAGCGAATCACGATGTAGGGCATATCATTAACAAGAGTGGTTGATCAATGACAAAGAAACACATATGAACTGAAAGCAGCATAAGTTAGGTCTATTTTTAGCACTATGCACGCTGGATTGAGCAAGTAACGTATTTAATATCCCGGCCAAATAGATTATATCGAAAATAACATAAGGCGTGAAGGTAATAAAGATGAGAAAATAATAAAAGTGGATATAAATGGCTTCTCAACCGGTGCAAAACTCGCCACGTTGTTGCGCCAGTTTTACTGCCACTTGAAATGGTAGTGAGCGAGAACTAAGTGTGTTTTTTTAGCTTAAACCTGCCAGTATAAATCGAATAAAGGCTTCCTTGTTTTCTGCTCAAACACAGCGCGAAGCGAAGGCAGAGTGGTGACTGACATCTGAACAAGGCATCCATCAACAATAAATTACACATCACATTTCATTGCACCCTTTTAGTTGCTTTGAAGCTAGCTTTTCCGCGAGATACGACTTTGCCAAGCTAAAATCGTCGCGCCAATTTTCGCGAATGTTCACTCATGTGAGGGCAACTTAAGTTTCTTATCTTAAGAAAAAAAAATGTTGCGCTGGCTCGCGCTAAGAAACAATACGTAGAAAACGATTCCCAGAACGCGAAGCCGACAACATTACCTTACACATAAAGCACGGTCGCGATCACCGTAAGTTGCGCAAATATACAACGCCGACAAACCCCGCTTGCGAGAGTGGTAGAAAACAGGATCTCCATGCCTGACGGTGTTCACAGTTGTCCATAAGATTCAGCAGGAAAAGCGCATAAACGCGGTGATATAAGTGACGCATGCTTGCGATGAAAGTCACTTCCAGAACACTAAACTCTTTTCACAAAGTAGACCAAGTATCGCTGCAGTTTAAGGTGTAAGCGACATAGCGGGAAGAGGGTTGCGCCTTACCTGCAGATTCCTGGACCAGGCAACCCTGGTGGGTGGCGGAACGGAAGTGATGACGCACTCAACGCGCACCTGCTCCCCTTCAACGCCATACTGGTCGTGGGGCTACTCACTTTCGGAGGGCCTGCGAGGAGAACAAACAAAATAAGCATAAGAGGTCCACACGCTTCTCACTGGGAGCTGTGTCGGGCATGCCTCTGCGCTAGGGACTTTAATCGTATTTATCTCTCTCCACGATTCATATAGAAGTGCGTTGTCCAACCTACAACGCAGGGAAGCAGCCACACTACGGCAGTTGCAGGTACAAGCCATATGGACCCCCGTCTGGAAAAAAACGTCTTCCC